TGACATGCGAACCAATTTCACACCTTCCTCGTTGTTGGAGATGGAGCAGGCCAGGTTGGCAACCTGAGTCACAAAGGGGAGAAAACAAAACACAATTGTGAGATTTGGGGGTTATTTCCTCATTTAGAAAACTTTTGCCTAATTCCAGTGCTCAGTAACTCATCAAGGAACAAAAATAATCCACATTTCTTCTGTTCTAACAACAAATGGCACCTGCTCCTTCTGTACACATAAAATCCTAACGTGTTGGACCATGGAATCCCTGAGTGGCTTGGGTTGGAAGGGACCTTAAATCCCATCCAGGGACACCTCCCACTGTCCCAGGAATGTCCAGCCTGGCCTTGGGCACTGCCAGGGATCCAGGGGCAGCCACAGCTGCTCTGGGCACCCTGTGCCAGCCCTGCCCACCCTGCCAGGGAACAATTCCTGCCCCAAATCCCATCCAGCCCTGCCATTCCCTGTGTCCTGTCCCTCCATCCCCTGGCAATCATCTCTCTCCATCTTTCCTGCAGCTCCTTCAAGGCCACCCTGAGCTCAGCCCAAAGCTTCTCCTGTGCAGGTGAACAATCCCAGCTGTGCCAGCCTTTCCTCCCAGCAGAGCTGCTCCATCCCTCTGCTCATCCTGGAGCCTCCTCTGGCCTGGCTCCAGCAGCTCCAGCTCCTCCCTGTGCTGGGGCAGCTCTGCAGGTGGGGACTCACCTGAGCACAGGGGCAGAATCAGCCCAGGGCTCAGCAGTTCTGGGTGCTGGGGCAGGTCCAGCTCTCACTCCCAGCCAGTCCAGCATCACTGAGCAGGGTGAGTTCTCCCCAGTGGGATGCACAGGAGCAGCACTGGCAGCAGCTGCAGGCACAGTTCCACAGCCCCATCCCACCAGGGTGAGACCCCCAGAGCTGTGTCCCACAGGGCCCCTCTGTGACAGGACAGGTAAAGCCTGGCAGGGCTCCTCCAGCCCTCCCTCTGTGCTGTACTCTGCACATCAAACCAGTACAGATCTTCAACATGCAGCCACAGGCCTCCAAAATTTGACCAGCATCTCTTGTGATGAAAAAAACCTAAAAACTTCACAACCTTGACCTGCTGCACAGCATCACCCTTAACTAGGTCAGCCTGAAGACCTGTGTAAACACCCTCCTTGTGAGAGCAGGGAGATGGGGACAGCACAGAACTTTTTGGTAATTGAAGATATTCCTCATCCCAGAGCTACTCTCAGGGGAAGGAAGTCTGAAATAAGTTACATTTCTCAGCTGACAGGTGAATGACAAGCATGTTATTCTGAGCCATTTGAACACAGAAAACTGTAAAAATAGCAGCAAGTGAACTGAGACTGAACACTGAGTACTGTCCTTCCAGAGGCTGAGCAACCTGCAAAGCCCCCTGTAAATGTGCCAGAAAGGCTTCACCTGGAGCCAGCAGATGCTCACTAACACCACTGAACCAGATTTCTCCTGATACTTTCCTCTATAAGCTGGAGAAATTCCACTCTGCCTTTCATTAAACTATTCTTTGCATTCATGTAAGCAATTTTCAAGTAGTATCTGCTGTTCTACCACATGCTTTTCCCCCTCCTCAAGCCCTTCCCTCACGGCAGATGTTCCCACACAGAATACATTACTGTCCTGCAAATCATCAAGCACGTGCCATTACACTTGAGCAGCATTTTTCATCAATCCCATGATCGATTTGGGGAGCAAAAATCAAGTTCCCACTGCAAAGCACCCGGCCCCTTCCTCCCTGCAGCTCCAAGTTACAGAGGATGGAAAGGAAGGTGTCAGGAGGAGAGGTGTTTCCAGCACAGAACAAGCAAACAAACAGATGTGACAGCACAGATTTGGAGGAAAACAAACTGAAGTTGAGAGAAAGATTGTGCAGCATCAACAACACAGAGCAATTCCTGCCAGCTCTCAGCAATATTTGTGTCCTGCTCCTCAAGTTTCTGCTCCACTCGTGTTTGGATTCAAATCCTACCCAGGCAGGGGTGAATTGCAGGATGTCCCTGGGCTGAGCCAGGGCTCTGTGCTCCTCCTGTCTGGCACCCCAGCCCCAGCCCAGCAAACAGAAACTCCCCTGGAACTGCCTCTCACACAGGGGCTGTGTTTGAACATCAGCCAGTTTTCCTCTACATTTGCCATGCCTTGAATCCCCAGTTGCCAGTGAGCTGCTGGGATGAGGGTGAAGTACATCATGCCTTTGTTTAGAGGCTCACCAGAATCAAAAGACAATCAGATGCCGTGATTTAAAAGTCAAATAAAGATTTTGCTGTTGGTTTAAGCACAGGTCATATTTTTGAGGAACACCGGTTTGCCAATATTTTTTATGGCCCATATTTCCCTGTCATTCCTGCCTCCACAGCAGCATCACAACCTCCAGGAGTGAGGAGAACACAAAGCTCTATTGAGTAGGGGCAGAATAAAAGGGACATTGAAGCACCACAAAATCAGCCTCTCCGATATCTGGAGATGTTGTGCTGTCTCTCAAGCCAAGTGTGATGAATCAAGCACACAGAAACCCTGCTCTGTCTGAGCACAGAGAGGCAAAGAAGTTCATAATGGAGTGTCCCCACCGTGGTATAATGAAAATTTGCTTTTTTGCACAGTCATTTTTGAACAGTCATTTTTCTCCTGAATACCCAACTGATGGCAATTCTTCTTTAGAAAGGGCCCGCCTGGCACTGCCAACCCCGATGAAAGGAGTGTGTGTGTGCCCTGACTGAGGCTCTTTGGCACTTTAAGACAATCCAACTGTTGGCTGCCACATCCCATCCCAGTGCTGTGGCTCCAGAGCTCAACACTTCATCTCAGCACGCTCATCCCTCGCTCTGCTGGCCTGGCTCCTCTGCCAGATCTGCAACAAAAATAAAATAAAAAAAAAAAACAAACTTCCCAGCAAACTCTGCTGAACATCACAGCCAGGCAGAGACGTGGCAGCAGCTGAGATGACTTCAGAGTGCTGCAGACAGGGCTGTAAATCCACAGCAGTGCAGCTTTACTGCACCCGTGGGAAGGCTCTGCCAAACTACTGGGAAACACTCACAAGGCTCTTAAAATTTGGAAGTTGAGAAGAGCTGCGTCTACTAATTAATCAAGTTGTAAACGATGTTAACAGTGAGGTATTCTAAACTGTCAGCAATTATCAGGTGCTCTAGAACGTGAATTCGGAAATTGCACGTCCCAAATGAGGTGGATGGCTGCAGGATCAAGAAATTTAATTTTAAAAGTACCTAAAAGGACTCATCTTCAAGAATTCCTAGGTGGTTTGACAAATAACTTCAAACTCCCCCTCTCTCTCCAGAGGGAAGAGGGTACTGCTGGCCAGTGATTTGGCACATTCCCACAATACATTGGATTTTGTAGCTGAGATGAAGATCAACTCTTTCAAAGCCCACAGAGCGCTTGGAAATCATACATTTCCAAAACTTCTAAATTAAATAATGCACCTCAAGGGAACAAAAATTTCCTTTAAATCAAATGTGAATTAAATAGTTTCTCCATGTCTCCAACAAAGCAGCTGACTGACATAGTAAGTGGTCAGACTTGATTTAGAAAGAAGAACACTTGTGCTCGAGAGCAAAATAGCAATTGAATTCCCGCTGCATTTGTTCATTCTTACCATTCAATATCATCAAGTCCCTTTACATAAGCACTACTGGCACAGGCATCAAAGGAGACAAAACCACTGCAAATAATGTAATCAGCACAACGAGCAATCTCTTGAAAAAAAAAAAAAAAAAAAGTTAAAAATACACTGGGAATGAAGAGAGCCCCGAGAGCGGGGCCGGCGCGGCTCAGACGCTTCTTGTGCTGACACACTGATTTAAAAATGCATTTCTCTCTCTTCAGAGTCCACAGCCAAAGCTTCTCTGACCCCAAAAGACAGGGCAGACCCCAAGCAGCTGCTGGTATTTAGAGGAATGAGCTGAAATTTCCCCCCAGTGACAAGTGCAGCCCCAGCCATTCCTAGTGGGAAGGGATGGTGCCAAGGGAACAGCTGGACAGGCACATCTGGAAAGGGCTGCCAGGCACTGAGCAGGTTCTGAACCTCAAATCTCATTGTTTTTAACCGTGGCATCAGCACAGTGCTGTGGGAACCTTGGAAACTGAGAATTTTAGACTTTCTGTGCTGCCACGCACTGACCCCCAGGAGAACATTGCTTTTTACCTGAGGCTGTGGAGAAGCTTCCAAAATGGAATGTCAGAACTGGGATCATGGGGGTGTAGTTTGAATAGAAATGTGTAATATCATCATGGTGGAAAATTTAGAATTTGTGGTTTGGGGAGGTAGTAATACACATATAAAGCAGGAAAAGAAGATAAAACATGGTAAGTGCAAGATGATTAGAGGTGAGTGGCTCTGGTGCTGGCACAGCCTGGAGGTGAATGGCCCCAAATGCAGCTGGAGCAGTCCCCAGTGGGGTTCCCTGTGCCCAGCACTGGGACCAGCCCTGTCTGATGCCTCTGCTGGTAACTGGGTGAGGGGATGAGGAAAATCTCACTGACTGGGCAGCAGTGTGGATGTTT